CGACGGCGGCGCTGCGCTCGACGGCGAGGAAGGACGCCGGCAGTAGAGGCGATGTCCGGCGCTCGGCGTGGCGGCGCTGCAATCCGTCGGCGATGAGGCGGCGAGGCTGGGGAAGGCGAGCGACGGCGGCTCTGGAGTCTCGGCGACGGCGGCTGGACCTGGCGGTGAAGCTGGACGGGAAAGACGAAGAAGAAAGAAGAAGGAGAAGAAAAAGAAGAAGAAAAAGAAGAAGAAGGAAGAAGGAGAACGGGAAGAGGAAGAAGAAAGAAGATAAGGGTTTTGTGGCTGAAATTAGTTTAGGTTTATTTAATAGTCCCATTCCAAAAAGGATTGGGCTTCGGACCCAAAATACCTGATTAAATTGTCATAACTTGAGCTCTGTAACTCCGATTCGCGAACCGTCTGAACCGACGCGATCACAAAAATATTTCCTACGAGATGACATAAAAGTTGGGCTTAAAATCCAAATTATAATTTTTACCCCTTATTGGGCCCAATTCGTAATCAATTGCTCTAACAATTTAATTAATTCTTTTGGGCCAGGTTTCGGGGCGTTACATATTGTACTCTCCATATGCTCCTTCTTAAGATCATAGTGTCGTAGTAGTCATAATTTCAGAGTGTCCCGAGGCCTGGCTGGATGGAGCCTGCTGAGAGGTCTCCAATTTGGAGACATATTTTGTTGAACTGAGAATTGTAGTGATACACAAGAATAAAAGTTTATTGAATATATATATATAGTGTTCTTACGATCTCCACTACCGCGACAGTTTTCAAAGAAAAATCTGTGAACGGTTATACTAAGAATAGGGAAAGAATTCTGCGCAGGAATGATACGGCGTGCCTGAAAATTCGCGCAGCATCGTCGTGGGTTTGGTCGTGTTTTTTACACACGTTCAAAGCCAGGTCATTGAAATTGGGCCGTTGATCTTTCTTAATGTCATTAAAATTGGGCCATTGATATAGAATTTTGGCGGGTAAATTGGATGGAGGATTTTGATTGTACTTTTATATACTTCCTCCGTTCCCTAAGATGTTCTCATTTTGACTTTTGGTGATTTTTAAGGAGAGTTGAAAAAAGGTGAAAGTTTATCATAATACCCTTAATGAAAAATGGGTGGAGTGTATTAAATGAGGTGGGTGAGGTGTAATAAATAAAGTAAGTGGGGGTAATTGTGGTATTTTAATTGTTAAAAAATGAAATGAGAAGATCTATTGTGGATAAAGAAAAAGGGCTATTGAGAAGATCTATGAGGGATGGAGGGAGTATATAATACTCCCTCCGTCCCATTTTAAATTGCATGTTTGGCTTTTTTTTCTTCGTCCCAAAATAAGTTGTCTGTTAGTTGTTTTTATAAAGTTTTAAAAATAAAATACCTAAACTACCCTTAAAATAAGTCACTCTTCTTCACCTTATATTCTCATTTATCATCACCGCTTCTAAAAAGTAATGTCAATTTCGAAAAATCAACTCTATTTTTTATTTTCCTTAAATATGTCCAAAGATCACCTAGTACCTAAGGTAGACAAGTTTCGATATCTTGGATCGGTAATCCAGGCTGATGGGGAGTTAGACGGGGATGTTGGACATCGTGTTGGAGTGGCTTAGGCCAAATGGCGGTTGGCTTCAGGGGTATTGTGTGACGCGAAGATTTCGCCCAGGATGAAAGGCAAGTTCTACCGATCCGTAGTCAGACCTGCTATGTTATATGGAGCAGAGTGTTGGGCGGTTAAGAAGACTCATGTGCGTCGTCTGCATGCGGCGGAGATGCGGATGTTACGATGGATGTGTGGGAAGACAAGGTTGGATAGGATTTCGAACGAAGTTATCCGACGTCAGGTAGGCATGGTGCCGGTGGAAGATAAATTGCGGGAAGCGAGGTTGAGATGGTTTGGTCATGTGAGACGGAGGGATGCTGACGCCCTTGTACGGAGATGCGAGCGGATTACGGTTTTCGGGGGAAGTAGGGGAAGGGGTAGACCTAAGAATAATTGGGAGGAAGTGATTAGACAGGATTTAGGACTTCTCACCCTGACTGAGGATATGGCTTTAGATAGGAACCTTTGGAGAACTAGGATTAGAGTAGCTGGTTAGGAACTCGGTGCTATAGAGGTTTTTTGTAGTGTGTTGTGTTTGATTGGAATCTTCTATTAATGCTTGTAGAACTTTCTTTTCATTGTACTTGGTGTTTTATCCATGCTATACTGTATACCCTATCATATTTTTTGTGCAGGTTGAGCCGGGGGTCTCTTGGAAACAGCCTCCCTGCTTCCAAGTAGGGGCAAGGTCTGCGTACACACACCCTCCCCAGACCCTACTGTAGTGGGATCCAACTGGGTTGTTGTTGTAAATATGTCCAAAGATCAAAACAGGCGATTTAAATTGGGATGGAGGGAGTAGATTTTAGTTAAAATTGTGTTAGTAAATTTGACGTTTATTATGAGTTTAGGTAAAATTTAGTTGAATTTTGAGAAATTGAGTGCATTATATGTTCATATCTATAGTTGAATGATTGTTGTTTGTGGTTTAATAAGATTGTCGTTTGTTAGCCGCCTTTATTGTTGCTATGGTTTGTTGGTAATAAATGTCATTGATATTCTTGGTTATATGATTGTTCTTTGTTGCCTTTCATTTACCAGGCGTTTCTAGACTGAGTCCATTCAAAAATCGTGAGTTGATGTATAAGAAATATGAGAGAGAAGGTGTTGTTAGTCAAGAATGGGTGGACAACGTGGTTGAGTTTGGAGAGTACTGTGAGTCAAGTCCCAATGTAGATAGGTTGGATAACAAGAAAATGCGATGTCCTTGCAAGAAATGTAAGAACATCAAGTTTTGTTCATCAAAGAATATGCTCGAGCACATTTTGCGGTTTGGATTCACATCCAATTATTTTGATTGGGTATGTCACGACGAGAATCATGGTGACTACGTACCTCCACAACGATCTAAAGTCCCTCGTCAAGCTGATGCCTCAGATGTATCACATGTCCCGAGTAGAGAACAGTTTGTGCACATGATTTATGATGCAGTTGGCCCGACTAGGATCAACTTTGTTGTTGAAGAAGAGCCAAATTTGACAGACAAGTGTTGAAATACGGGTTTATCACGTTTTCGTACTAAAGCCGTGTTCGTTGTTATGACAGGTTTTGATAATGCCAAACCGCAGTGAACGAGACAAGTCATTGAATATACAAGGCGAGAACCAAAGATGAGAAGAAAGAAAATAAGGGCCAAAAGAAGACCAAGAACGAAGACCGTAGTCTTGGTGTCGTTGAGTCGGTCACAATTGTGATCAAGACCGACCCAATCTTTACACCTTGGCTTTTTAGGCTAAAATTCTTTTCATTGCATTTCACATCATAAAAATGTTTTTCAAACATGTTTAAAACATTAAAAACACTTGGTGTTCGCCCAAACCAAAAACCAAGCCATCCCGCGTTCGGGTTTCCGAAACCGGCGTTCGGCATTCGGTTTTTGGCGTTGGTTTTTGGCGTCCAAACTAACTAAGTGGTTTTCAACTTTTTATGATTGGTTTTTATTTCTGGGCACATTTAAATAGTTTTCCATAAAAAACACTTCAAAAACCACCTTTCGTTTTTTGTCGTTTGATAAAAACCATGTGAAACGGCATAAACTTGGCTAGCCGTGGTTTTTACTTAATCGAAGTGGTTTTCAAGTCTTTTTGTGTAGGAATTGTTTTTGAATTCATTTAAATGGTTCTCCAATCAAAACATCATGAAAACCACCTTTCGGTTTTTCCTTTTGGTAAAAACCACCCATGTACGACATTGACTTGGTCAACTGTGGTTTTTACCTTAACGACGTGGTTTTCAACTTAAAAAGCTTGTTTTGACATCAAAATACATTAAATAAGTGTTTTATATACTTAGTTTTTACTTTGGAGAACTTTGCATTTTTCGGTCGGGTTTTAGTGCCGGTGAGCTAAGCCATGGTTCTGGGCTAGCCATCTACCCAGCGATGGTAGATATCACCCATGCATGGGTAAGTGATACCGGAATTCTAGAATCATTCTACCCAGCGATGGGAGATATTACCCAGCGATGGGTAAGCAGCCTTCAGCCCAGCTGATTTCCAGAACCATGCCAAACAGCGATGGGATGTTCTACCCATCGCTGTTTAAGCCTTGGTCCAACATTTTTGCGAGGCAGAATACCCTTACCCAGCGATGGGAACCTTTACCCATCGATGGGAGGGCATACCTATGGCTGGTTAGGCATGACCGTTGTGAGTCATTTAAGGCTGATTCTTTCCTTGTTTGAAAGTCAACCTCCCACCCAGCGATGGGAAGCATTTATCCATCGATGGGTACGTGACCGTTGGCTTCAAAACTGAAGGAAATTTGGCTTACCAGCGATGGGTGAGTCTAAACATCGATGGGAAGCCAATATCCTGTAGATCCCAAATTTATTCAATCCCATAAATCAAGCCAATCACCCCTTTAAAGTATTGGTCCGTTGGAGCCTATTTTGGCACTATAAAAGGGGTGTTTGGGTCTGCTTTACACATCAATCAACTTCACAATATTCATATTTTCATTGCATTCAAACAACATTCTTTTCCATAGCTTTCTAGAGCCAATTTGTGTTAACTTTGAGTTGTTCTTGAGCGTACTTAGTTTACTCATTATCTACTCTTAAAGAGAGTCTTGTTCTTGAGTGTTTAGTGTTGTATACACATTAAGGGAAGCTTGTTTCCCTTGGTCGTACGAAGGAAAGGTATTTTCCTTCGGGTTGAAGTCTTGGAGTGCGGTATCTCCCATCAAGTGTATTGAGGCTCGTGGGACTCGAGTTCTCAGGTTGTAACAGTTTTGTTAAGCACCCGTAAGCTTAACGGAAGTAGTGTAGCTCGAGAGAGTCTCTCGGGAGGCTGGATTAGCCACAAGTTGTGGTGAACCAGGGTAAATTTGGTGTGTTCATCCCTTACGCTTTTTTATTCCGCTCTTTACTTTATCCCTGCGATTTTTATTCCGCAAAAATTTATAAACATTCTCGTGCCTCACTATTCACCCCCCCCCCCTCTAGTGAAGGGCACTTATTCTAACAACAAGCACTTCTTCGAAATGTTGAAAGCTGCTGATACAGATCTTTAGCCGGGGAGTTCTAAGACGTCTCAGTTGTTTGCAGTTGCGCGCTTGTTGAATATGAAGTTAGAGCATAATCTATCTGAGCGTTGTTACGACACCATATGTCAATACATCAAAGACATTCTCTCGGAGGACAACTCAATGGTGAATGACTTTTATGAAACTAAAAAGATGATTGAAGGTTTGGGTCTTCCGATCCAAAAGATTCATTGTTGTGTTCTTGGATGCATGTTATATTGGAGAGGCGATGAAAGTCTTACCGAGTGCAAGGTGTGTCATAAGCCACGCTATAAAGACGAGACGTCTATGATTCTGCACACACAGATGTTCTACTTTCCGCTTACACCGAGGTTGAAACGCTTGTATATGTCCAACCGTACGGCGGGGGCAATGAGGTGGCATGCCACACATCGACACACAAACCAAGATGAAATGTGTCACCCTTGCGATTCTGAGGCATGAAAAAGATTTGACGTAGACCATCCTTCTTTTGCTTCAGAAATGCACAATGTGCGCCTAGGACTATGCACGGACGGGTTCCAACCCTTTGGCCAGTCAGGGTCCCAATATTCATGTTGGCCCGTAATGATTACTCCTTATAATCTTCCCCCTGACATGTGCATGAAAGAAGAACATATTTTCTTGTCCTTTAATTGTTCCTAGGAGGTCTAATCCGAAGCAGAAGATTGACGTCTACTTGCAGCCATTGATTGAAGAGCTAAAGACCCTTTAGAGTGAAGGTGTTGAGACCTATGATGTGTCACTCAAGCAAAACTTCAAAATGCATGCTGCCCTCATGTGGAAAATCGGTGATCTCCCTGCATACGCAATGATGTCTGGGTGGAGCACGGCCGGGAAGTTAGCGTGCCCCATTTGTATGGAACAAGTTGAATCATTTCGACTGCCCAATGGAGGAAAGCAGTCGTGGTTTGACACTCATCGACATTTTCTTCCCCTGGATCATTCTTATAGAAAAATAAGAAGAAGTTCATCAAGAATACAGTTGAGACGAGAGCGCCACCCATTAGAAAAAATGGTCAAGAGACACTACGTGAAATTGTAGGTTTGGGCATGCGGAGGATCGTGGATGAAAATGGTGATGCCATTAACTCAGAGATTGTGAAGGACACTTCTTGCGGATGGAGGAAGAAGAGTATTTTTTGGGATTTGCCTTATTGGGAGACAAATATGATTCGTCATAATCTCAATGTTATGCATATTGAAAAGAATGTCTTTGAAAATATTTTCAATACCGTAATGGATGTACGGGGAAGACAAAAAACAATGCAAAGGCAAGAGAAGATATGAAATTGTTTTGCTCAAGAAAAGAGTTGGAGCGTGATCCTCAAACCAAAAAGTACCCTAAGGCTAACTACACATTGGATAAGACGTAGCGTAAAGCATTTCTGGATTGGGTGAAAACGTTAAAATTTCCAGATGGCTATGTTTCAAACTTGGGAAGATGTGTCGACCCAACAAAGCTAAGGATGTTTGGGATGAAAACTCACGACTGTCATGTCTTCATGCAAAGGTTGCTGCCCATTGGATTCCGAGCATTACTTCTAAAGGTTGTTTGGGAAGCGATTACGGAGTTGAGTAACTATTTCAAGAGGTTAACATCCAAAACTCTATCTGTGGAGGATCTTAAAATGTTAGACGCAGATATCCCAGTCATTTTGTGCAAGCTAGAAGAAATTTTTCCTCCCGGGTTTTTTAATAGTATGGAACATCTCCCCATCCATTTACCTTATGAGGCACGGGTTGCTGGGCATGTTCAATACCGGTGGATGTATCCGTTTGAGAGGTAATTTCAAAAATATTAAATTTTTAGTTGCAAAGTTTATTGGGCATATGTTTCTAAACCTTTGATATGGTTTTAGGTACCTCAATCGCCTTAAAAGAATGGTGAAAAATAAGGCTTGCGTAGAAGGTTCCATAGCCAATGCGTATTTAGTCCGAGAGGCATCCTACTTCTGTTCTCATTCACTACAAGAAAAAAGGGATACGAAGACACTTAAAAAAAGTCGTCTATTGTATTTAAAGACACTAAGACAAAGTGTCCTCTATCAAGGAGTCATAATAAGCATGAAACAAGGAAACATAATTTGCATCATCTTTTCTATACAAGGACACCCTTAGAGCTCCATAATTGGTGTCATGAATGCCATACAAGGACACATAAAATGTGTCATCTTATTACTTACACCGTGTTCTCTATTATAAACTATGACACTATTTATGCGTCTTAAATTATTTCTAAAGTGTCCTTGTTTCCATAAGAAGACACAAAAAATATGTCTTCATATACTTGGCACGTACCATTTAATTTGTACAAAGACGCCCTTTGTGCGTCCTTAAAATATCTAAAAGTAGTCATATTATATCAATAAGATGACACACAAATATATGTACACTTTAATTCAAAATTTCATTAAGTAATAATTAAAGATGGGAAATCCCAAAATTCAGAAGTACGTACGGTAGACCAAAAATCAATTCAAGTTGACCAATGAAACATCTAATTAAATAAAAAAACAACCACATGTGGCATCATATCTCGATCATATATACATATATCCATCTATGTTATTTCAAATCTAAATATGCTAACTATTAAACTTCATTTGCTTGGATATTTGAGTCAACCACTTCTGCCCACTCTACTCGAACTTCATCAATATCTGCTTGGGTGTATGAATTTTTTTCCTTGAACTGAAATAATAATGGTAAATATTTATAATCAGTGTGTCATTATAACTTGTAAAAGAAAAAACATGGTATATATACTTTTATAGAGAATTTACATTGATTACCATATAGAGTAAATTCTACCACCAAAAACTAACTTAATTAATATATACTTACAGTACTGGCCATTACCCAGTACTATATTACAAATGTTTTTCTCCCCTAAATATACTGTACTGTATATGAAAATTTGAGCATTATTTGTATTTGTATTATTCTTATTATTATTATAGTACTCCGTATGTAGTATACTAGCTTAGGAATAATCTCCAACAAACTAGCTAGGTTCAA